CCCCAAGAACACCTCAACGCCCCCCTTTCAAAAATATTGCTTCCAGCGCCCCCCAATGTTCTCTGAACGCCCCCTGGGGGGGCGGTGCTGCCCCCGTTGAGAACCAGTGCGTTAAGCTAACCAGATGCTAACAACAACAATGCAAATAGTGAATTTGGTAGAAATATACTGTATACTATAGGCTAATAGTAAAGTTATTCAGCCATATTTATTGAAGATTTTACATTATAAATATTCCCCAAAATTATTCAAAAGCCTTCCAAACTCGTTGCTGTAGTATGACACTATTGATGTGTGTAGTGAGTTTGGTAGTAATAAGCTGTATAAAAGTGATTGAATATGTATTCTCTTTTTTCGGAGTTGCACTTTACAGACGCGGATAGAGACCAATGTAATGTGTCCAGCTCGGAGGACGGCGCGTATTTTTATTTTTTTTCAACATGTGATTGTAGTTCGTTGTCAATCTTACCACGGTACTTAGGAGACGTCATTTGTGTCTGAATAACGTTTTGTTCATGAGTTATTGATCCGTGAAATCAGAATCTCCCAATATCGTTCCAACTTTACTGAACTAAGCCAGAAGACCGTCTCATTTCCGCTCGGTTTGTTGTTCCTTCACTTTATTTTTATATTTATATACATTTATTTTGGACGAAAACTTAGCGTGAGGAAAGGCAAGTGTGGCGTGAGTGCGTGAGATATGGGTTAATTGCGTGACTCTCACGCTCAATGCGTGAGTGTTGGCAGCCCTGGTTTCTGCCTGGTTTACCCAAATAACCAATACTGCAAGTTTTGACATAATAGATGATCACATTTCATTTAAAATGTGTTGACTATAAATATTTAATAATTTATTTCTGTAGGCTACTTATTTATGAATGTATTGATACTCAAGTAGCTTACTTGTCAAGCCTCAGTTCACAAGAGTGAGAAATTGAAGTAAGTAACAGTCCGGAAATACCCAGCGATAAGACATCTAGCCATGGGTAACGATAATGGTGTGCTATAGGATTTTATCACTATGAACACAGGCCATGGTAGAATTGGTATTGGTAACACTTCGATGCTACGTGAAATCCTAAAAAATAGAGCAAACTCCAAATTTGCTTTACATTATCACAGCTGTCGCACATATTTTGGTCAATTTTATGTAATGCACATCTTTGACAATATTCTAAAAGCCTAAACAAAATTTTAAAAAATCGTCCTGTAACTTTAAGGTTTTCTTCTCAACTGGGGTATGGGGTTAACTGATGGCTGATATTAAGTTTGTAGTTAATTGATGGCTATCCTAAATCTGTAGTTAACCCACGCATCGTAGCCCAAACATATAGATAAACCTAAGGGCTTCTGTTCAGCCTGTAATAATCTGATTTTATTTTATAGATGATTTATACACATGGAATTGCATCCTTTAGTTAACCGGATGGCTGATGCTCAGCCGGAGCTCCAGCCCCATATTCGCCGCGCTGTGAATTCTGGGAACACACAGTAGTATCAAGATGGCGGCGAGCAGGAGGCTGGCCAAGGTAAATCTCCCGATCCGTTCTTTTCATATTATTTATTATCTGTAAAAACACATTTTAGGCCAGTGTACTCATTCGTTATTCATCTTAACGAATATGAGATCATGTTGTATGAAGAAACATTAAGAGGCTATTTTTTTACTGTTAACTTAATATAAACGAGAGGTCACTACTGTCCACCGTGATGCCGTTAGCCGACCAAATCATATCGCCTAGCAGCAAAGCACCGGCAAAATTAGGCCAGAGACTCGATAGTCAGCCTTCTGAAGACTAACACGGGACACATGTTCTGTTTAATACCTATCTATAGCTTCCATGTAGCTGTTGTTGTGTGACCGCGAATTGAGTTTAGATGTGGCCGACAGAGAGCGTGAGTGGATTTGCTCGGCATAAGGCGCTTGCTAATCAGCTAACGGGCTAGCCTCAGATCTGAGCTGCGTTTCAGCTAACGCTAGCTGGAGAGCTAGCGAGTTTTAGCTACACTCAAGTTAGCCGGGTTTGGATTGGCGGGGATTAATTTAAAGTACATTCACAGCTCCCGTTTTTTCATTGCTGTTATATGCAAGCACCAGGCGGTAGTTCTTTGTAAGGATATGATCTCCTGGTACCCAGACAATGAGGTAACGAGGCTGTACAGGAGCTACACACAACAACATGGAGCCTTAAAGCTAGCTGGCAGAACAGAACAAGGAAATAGGCCCAAAACAGACAGAGGCTTTACCTTATTTCACATCATTATACAGCAGGTCAAAATGAACCTTTTGCTAAGATCTTAACGTAGTAACAAAACTAAATTGATTTAAAAAATATGTGGATTCAGCAGGATCTGTCAGACCCGGCTAAGTAGACGACAGTGATTGACGATCATGATCAAGGCCTACAAGGCGTATCTTTGTTCTATATGAAATATGAAGACCTATATGTTAGACAACATACTGTGTTAACCCCCCTTCATACTTCTCACTATATTTTAAGATTCTCAAAAAAGCCCCTTAATAGTCCCACTCAGCACCGGTGTCTTTATGAGATAGGGAGGACGAGTACAAAGTATTAGCCAGTCACGGGCGTCTCAGCACACTACACTTGTAATAAAATAGCACTGCAATAAACTAAATTTTAAATGTGAACCAATTACATATGATATAGTTAACTAACTACAACATCTAAATAGGTGAAATTTAGTGTTGGTGTGTTTGTTGTAGCTTTTGCAAAACATTTTTTTAATGAATATGGGTACAATTTAACAGAGAAATAAAAAAAAAACCGTTCTCTTTATTGAGAATCAGTTTGTCATAGTCAATCATCTGACATGAATGACACCATATTTAGAGATAATTTCATTTAGAATTTTTCTTTAATGTCCACTTTCTGATCAGTGCCTCCGCTGTGACATGAGGCAGATTTAAGGCGGACTCACGGATAATACAATCTCATCAGTTCCATTCCCAATTCTGCATGCAGCCTCACCAGCCAGTAAAAGTCACTAGTGCAGCAAAAACTATGGCATCACTCTTAGGCTTTTTCCCTGTGAGCAAAATTCTTCCAAGTCCAGCTGCAGGTAGCACTATCAGTTATTGAACCACAAAACTCTGAGGAAGTCGGCAAGAACCTAACAGCCTGCACTTCCCACCGCCTCCTTCTCTTATGCAACATTTTTAATGTTTATATACGTTTGCTGTCACTAAAATAATGCATTAAGTATGGTAAGACCTTCAGAGATCGCAAAGCAATTCATATTTAATCCCCAGGTACAGAATTGGACATTCCAAAACTCACCTCTAATATTTATTGTTTGCTTGTTTTCTCAGGAACTTGAAGAGATTCGCAGGTCTGGAATGAAAAACTTCCGAAACATTCAAGTTGAGGAATCAAACCTATTGTCATGGCAAGGGCTCATTGTTCCTGTAAGTATATTTACCTTTTTAG